CCGGCCCCGCGCGGGCTGGGGGCGCAGCGGAGCCCGGGCAGCCCCGGTGCACGAGTCGGCCTGGGCAGCGCGACCCCAGGGCTCGGGAAAGCAAGGGCAATGCCCGGCGAGGACAAGAGAAAGGGGGCAGCGCTGCAGCAAGGGGGGCGAGCGGGCACGGAGTGAAGGGGCATCAACAGGCGCTGCAGAGCAGCTCGTTTGGCAGGGACGGGGCAAGGCTGCACCCTCCAGATCTGTGCACAGGGCAAGCCTTTGCCCCAGCACCAAACTTCACTGCGAGGGCACCGGGTGGGGCCCACCTTTGAGCCATCCCTGCCACAAGTGGCGGGGCCAACTCTGTGGAAGTCGGAGGAGCTGGTATTGCTAAGTGTGCCAATACGCATGGGCGAGGCGTGGGCGCACATGCAGCCCCTGAAGTTGGTGGTGCACCCCCTGCAGAAAGCTTCACCGATGGTGCAGGCAGTAGCCGCTCGCCACTGACACCACTGGCAGCATCTGCAAGCAGTCCCCAACTTCCACTGGCCACTGTCAATGCTACTGGTGGCATCTACAGGTGGTCGCTGACTGCTGGTCAGCACTCGCCACCCCCCCGCCATCAACACCGCTGCAGCCGCCTGCAGGTGCTCCCTGCTCAGCCCGCCCGCGCTGCCAACACCATCACAGCTGCCTGCAGGAGCTCCCCTCTTGCCACCCAACCCTGATGCCAACACCACCGCTGCCTGCAGGCAGTCGCAGTGCCCCCCCAGCCTCCGGGGGCACGTGTCATTCATGCCAATGGGTTTGTCTCAACAGGCACAAGGAGGCCCACGCATGGCAGAACTGCACTGGTGCGCTGGTGCCATGCATGTGCTGTGGGCACATGAACCTAATGCATGCAGGTTTTTTGGGGTAAAAGGGGGAAAAGCTGTTGCATGAACTCATGCCTGGGACATTTGGCCCTGTGGAAAATCAGTGTGAAGTGTTTATAGAAACATGGGTGGGTCTAGACTTGTGAAAAAGGGGTGCACAGGGTGAGGTGCATCATCACAGATTACATAACACAGTTTTCCTCCCATTAAAAATAAACTAGAAGTTTTACTAAGATGCTAGGGGCTCAGGGCTGTATTTTTCAATAAAAGATTGAAGCAAAAACAGCTGTAACTTCACTGGAATGAGTTAAAAAAAGAAAACCTGCAGGGCTGTAAAATAGGACCTTCCTAACCAGGAGCAGCTAACAGACAGGAAAAGAAAAAATAGCTTGATTGGTGGAACATCAAGACCATTAAAAAGAAGAGAGAGGGTCATTAACACCATGGAATGAAGAGTTTAGAAGGGAGGGGAGTAGGTTACAATGAGCCATGAAATCAATTGTCTCCCTCACTGTTGCCTGACTGCGAATGCTGCTGCCAGGCAGTTGATTTTAAACTTTGGGTGGAACAGGAATCAAAGCAGGGTACAATGCATGGCGCATCTCCACCCCCATCCCATTCTGCCCCTGCAAAAACAGTGGTACTTTAGCATAGACAAGGCACTGCTGTCCCCAACTGCCTCCTGCCAAAATTACCCTTGGAAAAAAATCACTTTCTTCAGCTACCTGTCCACATTCCCTCACTACACACACATCTGTACCATCCATCCCACTTTGGAAATGCTAAGGCCTCCAGGGTTGGAACAAGCTTGGAACATGCTGCATGGCTCCCATCTTTCTTTTGATCCTTCTTCTTTTCCCTGTTTTAAGTTCTCTTTAAACCCGTGCCAGCGGAGAAAAGGTTACCAAGAGTGTGAGAGCTCACTTAGAAGTGCACCCGGAGATTGCTGATCAGGTGACTTAACGTTTCTCTTGGGATAGAGGAGGTTGAGGGGGAAGGAAGTTGTGCGAAGGAAGCAGCTTTTAGCTAACCAAATGGCTTATAGTTTTACAAAAAAAAAAAATGATAAGTCAGAAGCTGTTTTTAGGGGATCTCTCTCTTTGGGCAGGAGAGGGAAGATTGCTCTTAAAAGATCCCAGGAAGAAGTTTTGGGTCTCAGGCCCCTAAAAGGAGAAAAGGAATATTAAGAGTGTCATGCACATTTCGAAGCAATGTGAAATAGGAGAGTATTTGTGTCCTGAAACTGTGGCTACGCTTTGAAGACATGAAATTAAACATTACCTTGTCTGGAGGGCTGAGTCATGGAAGAGACAGATGTGACCAGATAAGAGTAGTAGTCTAATGTCACACTCAGCTGTGTGGGGATGTACTGGATGGTGAAACTCTTTTTCATAGCATATGGTACCTTGCTTTATGCACTTTTTCTATATCTCATCTCCAAAATTGTTCCAAAGTGGTGTGTGTCACTGAGTTCACACCACTGATACTGTGGCTGCCTCAATCATGTTTTTCCCCACTGTTTTTAAAATGAGCTAAAACATTTTGCTGTTTCCCCGTCAACAGTATTATCCTTGATTCAATAGTTTCATTGGGCTAAGAGAATTTTGATTGCTTATCAACTCTCAGCTTGTAGGGGTACCTTTTTAGAAATCTTTTTTTTTCTCTAAGTAGCTAACATAGGGCTGTATGGATACTGTAGGTGTCTCTTCCAGGGGAGGAGGGGTAACTATTTTAAAATCCAGCCTAATTGCCTCATTCTTCCTTGTATCTTTATTTCCTTCTCATGGGAAAATTGCACATTTTTGTGGCATCATTCCATCATCTAAAAACTTTTCTTCCCTTGAGAGAGTTGGGAGTGTGGGATTATAGGGACGAGAACACTAAGGCATTACTGTTAGCCTACTCAAAGTAATCAAGTATTCAAGATAAGTTCTGTACTCAAATAGTACAGGAAATATTAATAGGAGCATAGAAAAAAATCACTCAAGCAGTTATTTACAAAGCTTATGAATTTCTTTTAGCTCTTTTAAAGATTCTTGTTTTCATAGTGATTTGTCCAAGAAACTGGTCAAAATCAAGTCAGTTCCGGGGGGGCGGGGGGCGGGGAAGAGGGTGGTATTCAGGTGAAGGGAGTTAAAAAAAAAGTAACTTCTACTTTTTAAGCTACTATTTTAAACCAGTGGTTCTGAAACTTTTTAGAACAAACTCACCCCTCCATAACTTTTCTAAATTTAGCAGAACCCTATTTCAAAAACTGAACTACAGGTCAAAAACTGAACTACCTTTTTGACTACAGAAAAATAATAGAGCAATTTGCAGCGAACTATATACCACAACAGGTCACAATGTCCTTGATGCTGTGGATTGCAATAGAAAATCTCTGGGTGTATCTTATGAATCGTATTGCACATTTAACAGTGCTAATATTGCATAGCATCCTGCAGCATCAGCACTCTTAAAAGATCTCACACTACACTGTTTAATCACTGCTCTAGAGGCTGTTTGCTCCTTAATATATTTTCACTTTCAACATGAATCTGAAGTTGCTGGACTACATAACTAAAAGTAATGTTACTCTGCCTTCTGAATAATAGCTGCATATTTGTAGCAGAAAGCCTGCTACAAGCAAGTATGTCTTAGAAGTAGAGAGTAAGAAGTCATGACAAGCTGGGGGTGGGGGAAAGGCCTGGCCGATGCTATACCAGCTCAGTGGATGAGACTGAATGAGGATAATGTCCCAATAATAACTGTTGGCATTTTGAAGGTCTGTGCCATGAACTTCAGGGGGCTTTGCAGGGGTATGGATGGACATACTCATTATTAGTTTTACCAATTCATTCAAATTCTAGAAACGTTGCTGGAATCTTTGTTTAATTTCTTTGTTTAAGATTGCAAAATACAACATTCCTTAAAAGTGACTGAGTTATTGGATAAAGTTGGGGCTTTGATACTGGAAATTAAACAAAGCGACTTCCGTAGTGAAAAGCAACAAAAATTTAATATGGCTTTAAAAAAAGGACTTTTCTTGTACCCAAAGCAATCTTATTTTATATCCAAGACCTATTTTCTTATTTAGTTGGTCAAATAGCTGCCCTTACCCTGCCTGGAAAACAACTTTCAGTTAAGGACAGGGGCTGGCAATCTTCCTAAGTTGTGGGCTGACAAGTGGTTTCACTACATCAGTAGCAGGGGCAGGGTGCTGGAGAGGAGAGTTGCCTATGCCTGCACTAGGGCTAGGCTTTGCTGCCACTTCTCTCAGTGCCACCACACAACTGGAAGCTGTGACACTGCCACTTCTCCTAGTCCCCCATTCTCTGACTTGATCTTGAGTGTAGCAGCCAGCTGGGCTGGGCAGCTGGTAACTGGACCCATGTCATCCCTGCTTCTCTCCACTCCCCAGTTGCAGCCAGAGCCAGACTTGGGGGTGGACAGGTAGGCAACCACCCAGAGCACTGTGGTCAGAGGGGTGCCACATCCACACACGCTGCCACCTCTTTCTCCAGGCAGCTCTTGTGGCTCCCCCTGGCTGCTCCCAAGCTGGCTTGGTGCCCCTTCTGAGGAGGGCAGTGAAGCAGAGGAAGGCTGTTCCCCTCCCTCTCTCCATCCAGTCCCCATGGCCTGTAAGCCTCCCTTGCCTCCAGCAGGATCCAGGCAGCTGCTATCAATAATAAATTGCATCCTCGCAGCAGGAATAAGGGTGGGCAGGCAGAGGAGAGGAGGCAGTGGGGGTGGTGGCAGGGTACCCAGTGGTACCCAG